GTTTTCACTTCGTCTACAACCGACCAAGTTCCAACGTTCCAACTATAGCTCATACATCTCAGCCTCTCTGCCAAGTTGCGCAACGAAGAAGGAAAATAGAGAAATTATTTCAGTATGGCCGAATAATAGGATGAACCATCAGCATGATGATCATCAGGAACGTAGACGATTTGCTGGTTTGACGTTTGACATCGACCAAAGAGTATATATGCTCTCAGAGTATACTTACGACTTTCTACTAGCAAAGCTTGGAACCAGGTACTATATAATTATTTACCCTAAATTATAAGCAAAAATAAATATCTTTTACGTTTAAGGATCTCTTTAGTCAGTATCAGTTGAGGCAAACCAAATGATTCCTTTTTGAACACCGATAAAATCAAACAACCAAAAGACTAGTGAAAAGTCCTAACGTATTTAATCTCTAATCAGAATCGGTTATCAAGTAACCTTTACACGTAAGCACCTCCTTATCACCTTCAGTACCAATTAACCAATCACATACTCGGTTTTAAATTCCTTTTTGAACTCTGAGAAAACAAAACAAAGACACCAGTGATATATTACGCTACAAAAATCACTGTTCCTAAACGAGCAGTGTAACCGGTTACCAAACGTAACAGACACAGTGATTTACAGCTAGTAATTAGAAGCAGTTAGCAGGTAATAGCTTACATATCAGGCCTTGAACTGCGCGACTGGCAGCTTATTATAATCGCAGAACTGCTACAAGCGGACTAACTGTTTCCTGTCGTACAATACTGTACAGTGTACATGGTGTGTACAATACTGTACAGTGTACATGGTGTGTACAATACTGTACAGTGTACATGGTGTGTACAATACTGTACAGTGTACATGGAGTATACACTGTACAATAGCTCATTGTAGATGAGGCGTGGCGAAGGTTCCTCTTTGTTGGTCTATGTGTTACATTTACTAAAATCGTGATTCATCCGATACGGTACGCGTACGTATGAGCTATGTTATTATTTATTGATCAAGGAAAATACACAATATCGTACGTTAACTGAATTATGTAGTCGGAGATATATTTTAGGATGTTATTGGTGTTAGTTTCTAAAATCTAGCTCATTTTAATTAATGATTCGGAATTTTTATGTTTGAGCCTTTATTCGGCAAACAACCCACAAAATAGAGTGCTAGAGGTGAAGCGATGCAAAGAAAACGTTTTTTAAAAGAAAAACCCCTACAAAATTGATGGAATTGGAGATAACTCCAATTAATAAATTTCTATAAAGAAAGATGGAAAACACTGGGGTTCACATGGATTCACACAAATAATTGTACTAGCAGTGAAGAAAATCAGTCAATTGATAAAAATATACAGGGTGTCAAGATTCAACTAGGACAAACTCCAGGAAACTTATTTATATAGGTAGAATAAGAGTAAGCTTGCCAGGTTTGCCTCATTTTAACAACTAAATTTGTGACAATTCAGCTATTGTGTACATGATCTTTTCGAACTTGGTGTTGCTTGATATAAAATTTTAAGAGCTAAATAAAAGTGTTCTTAAAGATTATTCATAAAACCAGCCATTCTTTCGTACAGTACAGTACCGGTAATTTAAATTAAAAATAAATGGTCGCCATTTTGAAATTTTGAATTGGACTAAGTTAATATTTTTCCGACATAAGTATCTTCTAGTTAAACATAAATACCAAATCTCACAAAAATCGGTCCGAACCATCCATAGATAAAAATGTTAAAAAAATGGCGGATTATGGTTAGCCTAACGAAGCGATTTTTGGAAAAACTTTTATTCTTAAACTTCTCTTTATTTTAACCCATAAAACAATGTCTCGGAGTTTGTCCTAGTTGAATCTGGACACCCTGTATATAAAATGAAGTTTTAATATAACGCGAATAAAGATCTTGTGCATGTTAGCATCTCACTATCTCAGACTTTAGTTCAAAAGTTATGAGTCCAATACCCACATTAAAAAAATGTAGAGAACAGTTTCCTTTTAAAATCGCACGTGATTCTTTCTAACAAAATACCACCCGCGTGGGCACGAACAAAAAATGATGAACAGTCGATATTTAAAATGCAAGTTTAAAATCTGAGCCATTTATGGCAATGCGGGACTGAAAGTTTACAAGACAACACTAAAACCCAACACGACGAAGATATATTTATTGGGGTTTGAACATCAAAGTGCCGACAGCACGATTGGGGTGCCACTCCCAAAGGTACTTTTTGTGGGGTCCTCAAGGTCCGGTGGAATAAAGGGCAACGCCCTCTGATTCACATTTAACTGATTTTATAGGAATATTTGCTGAAGAACCAAAACTACTAAAGGAAGTTTGTTTACAAATGAGTTACTAGATGAAATAGGATTCTCCTATGAAGGTTTGTCTGTTTTAAGTTCAAATAAACGGAAATGAATTATTGATCGTATCCAAAAATATCAAAATAAAAATGTTTAAAAATATGAAAGAAAAAATTATTACATGGAAATTCTATGACAGAAACAAGTTTCAAAATAACAACCGAAACCTGAACAAGAAGCAAGTCAAAGTAATGTTTGTTCATATCAAATACGAAAAAATCTTTGATCCATTACGTCCATGAATGGGCCTATTTAATTTTAGTATCAATTTCTTCAAATTTCAGATCCGAAGCAAGCACCAGCATTTTCAATAAATTAAAGAAAAATAGCTGAACTGTTGTGATTTAGTAACATATTTGATTACACAATAGTGCGTAGCCTATACTATATTCTGAGTAATTTTATGTATATTTTCAACATACATTATTGGTATCATTCTTATTTAGGTAAAACGAAAGTTGTTCTGAACAGCAATATCATGTACCTACTGAGTAACGCCGGATTTATCAGCAATTTTATATACTTTTTATACAAATGTTAACTATTAGGCGAAACATGCAACCCGTAGCAGAGATTGAACAGACAAAGTAACACAAGTAGTAAAGCCTATCATTTTATCTTTCGTTCAAAAGGACCCACAACTAGGAAAGGACAACATGTTTACAGGAGAAACGAAAGTACAAACTTGTAAATTAATGGATCCTTCTAATAGAACCACTTTGACCATGAATCGCACACTGGTTGTTTTGTAAGGAAAAACAATAAAGCGAATCTTGATACTGTACAAGTTTTATAACGGTCATTTGCTTTATATTCATAACCAAAACATGAAGCTGAATTTAGCAGTGTTATATCGCTGGATAGTTTAGCATTACATTACATAAACAGTAGCTATTTCACTATACACTATTGGCTTTTTATACAGAAATATACCTTCCACATATGGTGACCCGATTTTATAATTTTAAAATTACATGATTAAATGAGCTTCAGAGCTACGTTTAGTATATCTCTGAGTATTGTGTTTCGGAGGCAAGATGTTACCATTTAAATCACGTTGCCCCTTTAATTTTGGAATGGTTAAAAAGTTACGAAACAAATTAGTAACAAACAAGAATATAACTACTCTTAGGTAGTCTGAAAAGTACCCATAAAATCCCCCTATCCCCTAGCCCACCCCAAAGTTGGAAATTTGATGGTTTTAAAGTTTGTCTATTTCAAGTATAGTTTTTAGGTTGAGTAAAACAATAGGCTGTCGAATACTTGATTAATCACCTACGATTACTGTATCTATAACTTTACGGGGAACCATCTTTTCCATAAAACTACTATCTTTTTTAGCCTTATTTGGAGCTACCGAAATCGTCTCGGTACAGCACACACAGCCTTGACTGTACCATTACCCTTTGGTACAAGGCCTGACTGAACATGTGTGTGTGAAGATCCATAAGAAGCGCAGTGTCCCCAAGGCCCACCTTGGTCCAGATGAATCTGGACTCCTACACATCTACCCACGAGATCCAGATAACGGCGTCCAAGTCCAAACAAGACACGACTCTGACGACATCTCTGGGCGCGACACAAAAGTGGACCTTCAAATGTCTGGATTTGTGAAATTAGGTAATCCCTGGACTGGAATAATGGGACCCAAACAGTGTATTGTAACCACTAAAAGGCTGAAGGAGAAGGGCAAATGTTTGGTTGTACTGATCTCTGTGTGGGTATTTTCGAAAATCGGTTTGATTACTCTGTGTTCACCGAAGGGATATTGTTGATATGATACGAATTTTAAGTCCATACTAGACCCTAATAAACCCAAACTTAGTAGCCCCAAAATGCATGTTATTCATGTTATTAGGCTACAATGAATGCTTCGAGTACTATAAGAAAATTCTTGGAGAGTCGACAAATTTACCAATAATTCACTTAACATCAAGTTTCGAGTAATTATAATGTTCCTTTGTTATCGGCGTTATTAACAAATAAGAAGTAATTACACCTTAAGAATAACTAAACTGGTTAAATGTCCTGATAACATCAGGATACTGTATCCAAATTAAATCTGACTCAAGTGAGAGAATTCGCTAACAATGGACCGAGTAGCTGTCAAAGATACAGATCTTTGTTATGGACTGGATTGCTCATTTTCACGATCTCTTTACAAAGACTTGTTCTTTTTTGATATTTTTAACACCGAACACCGGCAATCAGGTGAAAAAGAGTTGAACTACAACAAATGAGCAGTCCACTTGAAGAATTGGTCTACTGTTCTCCTTGTATGTCGTGTTAAAGAATCATTGTCGGTTGCTTAAGATTATTTTTACGTAGCAGACGCAGGACTAGGACTATTACTTTTTGACAATTAATTGCAATGTGTTTGTACGTACATCAATAGGCCTAAGAATTCTACCGATAGCCGAAAAAAAATAGAAATGTGTTTTCTTCTTCAATTTACTCTGAAGCAAACTGTAACGCTTGGGATTACGGACGGTATTTTAAACGTTGCAACAAGCCCAGAAGAAGGTCCTGACAAAAACTTGCAGACCATTTTCTTAAGGAAGGACGTCGGCGCCCCCTTGGAATATTTCTTGGTCGTACATCTACCCTATTCAATTACTTTTTACTTCGACAATTCTAGTACATACCTGAGGGACGTTTGTTGACAATCAACGACAGTGGTTGCGAATCGCACAGCGGGGATCCCGGAGGAGTCAATCCTTCGTTGTGGTTCTTCTGCTGATCCAACAACTTGAGTTGCTGCTGCAGCAGCCGGTCCTTGATCAAGAATATCTTCGGCATGGTGTAAAGTTCACTACACTATCGCACAACACTACCGTGAACAGTTTAGGCGTTGGAGTTAAACGTGTCCATCGTCTCCGGGCACAGCACAATCTTCAACTTGAACCACTGGTACGAGATATCCATCAATACATCCGAGACACGAACACTGAGGAAGCCAGCACTGGACTGCGGCGCGACCAGGTAACCGTTGTTCGACGCTGGCGACAGGTTGTGGGAGGGGGGAGTGATGTCCGACCACTGCCAAGATCATGGTTGCCCGACCACGTGACGGCGCATGCGCAGTGCCCGCGACTGCGCGCAGCGGCCCATCTTGGATAACAGTTCGCCCGGTTTTACTTTTATGTTGTCACTGATTTCGTTTCATAATCCGACTTATGGTGATTTTCGATTGATATGCCGCAGTGAGAGGTAGAGCGACTTTCGTAAGGAAATCTGCGGGAAATTAAACGTGAATAATAGTGGTGCAGTTTTGGTACTACAGTTCAATACTACCGTTCTGCCTTCACTGTATAAACTGCAACAATAAACCTGTATATTGTTAAAAACATTAATTAAAAATGCAGGCTTCATGGTGGCTTCGAATAATGCAATTTTATACATCAACGACTAATCGGTAGATATATATTATCTAACCCCAAAACTCCAGCATTTTAGTATTTAATGACCGCACAGTTGAAATCCTCAAATTCACTAATAAAAAAAAATCGTTAATTTAAATAAAATTTGAGTTTATATTAGTGACAGTCATATAGTATAACATATGTCATACATGTCATAGTATGACAGATTTATATTATATCGGTCTATTGCTTTGTTCGACGGAATTCCAAAAATTTCAAAACGCCTGCATAAAACGAATGCAATACACTGTGAGTTTGTGCGGGGGTGGGTCGTTCTATGATACCGGGCACCCTTATTAAAAGTTCAAAACTGTAATTCAATATAGAATATTATTGCTAACATCACTCGATTTATTACTTAATAAATTTAAAAGTAAGAATTTAAAAACCCCGTCAACTAAAAGAAAAAAAACTGATTTGAACAAATACATTTTCTTGGTTGAATAGTATGTCTCAAATAATATTTGTATACAATATATTTACAGATTTACAGGGGTTAAGCAACAAACCGGTCACACTACTTCATAATATGGTAATACCAACATGTTTTTATCAAACAAAACCTTTGCAAGCCAAAAATATAAACTTTTAAATCCTGTAGGTTTTTTCATGTCTCAAAATAATACATTTTTTTATAGGTTTAGAGGGTTTAAGATACAATTTAGCCATAAATACATAGCAAATTTAGCCATAAATACTTAGCAATGTTTAGAAGTATATCAAATAACTATAAATTGGTACTATGCCGATTTTTTCTATATAATAAAGCGATTAAGCATCAATTTACCCTACAACAACCACTAGTTGGTTTCTTGTTTAGGTTAAAAGTATTTTTGGATTATGACAAATTCTCATATAATAATATAAACTTTTATTGTTGTAGCGAAAAGTGCATTGGAAAGGTAAAATATAGTGCAACATACATTGGGCTGCTTCTTTTTTGGGGAGGTTAATAAACTATTAAAAAAAAAAATTGGCCTTCGAATAAAGGTCCGATGTTTCTAAAAATCTATTAAGGTTATTATTACTAGCGAGGAAATATCCGTTTGTGGCATGGTCACTACCCTTCAATTAGTTAAAACCATATACAGGGTGTCCCGGAACTCCCTAACAAAATTTTAGAGCATCGTTCCTGAGTTAAACCTTTGACTAATAAAAAACCTACTAACGGACCGCTGGAGGTTAGTTGCAGTGCATGCTGTAAGCGGTCACGAATCACTTAAGTTGCCATATCTCAGTTAATACTCGTCCAATCTTAAAAGAAGGTGTCAATCGATTTGTAAAGTTGCATTAAAAGAGGTATCCTTATAAAACTTTTTGTAAAATCAATGGTTTTTTAGTTATTTAAGAAACTAAATTTTAAATGGCTACCATTTTGTTTTATGAATTTGAAACATCTTCATAATTATTGTTTTGTGGCTTTGACTAGTTGTGATAAATGTTTGTGCAAAGTTTCCATTTCGTATGTTTAACCATTCTTTAGAAAAAAATAATAACCGAAAAAAAACGAAATGGCGGCTGTTTGAGTAACTAAGGACTTCCGGACAGTTTAAATATGATATTTAGATATGTTTCTTACCCAGGAGCAATGCCCTAAAATATTGGTAGAGAGTTCATGGGACATCCTGTATATATAACATAAAATGTTTTAAAACCCCTAAGCAACAAGTAAGAATGGAACTGTTGAAATCAAAAAGATTGTTAAAAAGTTAGGTGTTTTCTCGCGATCCACGGTTATTTTGTTTAAAAGATAGTGATTAACTACGGTAACCGGCCGACCATTGTTGTTTCATGGAAAACCACGCAATCCTGGTTATTGTTTAAAAGTGGTTATTAGACACTGAAATTATCTTACAGTCTTTAAATACAAGCTTAGCAAGCTTCACAGTTCCACGCTGCTTTTATTTTACATCCGGGTTTTGATAAAGAATTTTAAAATAATGCGTTTTAGAAAAGCGACTTGTAAAATTCGATCCTCTAATACTCCGAAACTACTAAATCATAATAAAGAAAACATACAATTAATTGAGTGATGTAGTTCTTCATATATTTGTTATAATGCAGTTTTATTTTTTTTATGGGATCAGGCAAGATCAGGTCCAGCAAAATATGAGACTCTTGAGAATTCAAGAAGATGCTGAGGACAGAGACAGATGAAGGCTCTGTGTTGACGACGCTAAATATCGACTGGGGTACAAATGGCCATGTCAGTAAGTAAAATATACCATTGATTGTAGAAACGCTGTTATGTTCTGTAAAAGGTGGTGATATTATAGCTGTTTTTCTAATATAGCTACATATGTTTGCAAGACTAGTAAAGATGTTATATATGATTTACCAAAAAGTATTGAAGAATTGATTCAAGTATCATGTAAACAAAAGATTACATAACGCCAAGGCCATGTTGCCATTTTCAGAAAATGAAGCAAAAGACGTAGGTTTACCGTCAATGAAGTCAAATAATATTTTGGACACGCATTGCACTCTAAAATAAAAACCAAAATTTAAGATCCAAAAACAGTTAAAGTTAATGAATCCCAGAAAAAGTCAGTTTTTCTACTACCATCCAACATTGTCCATTGACGACAATTTTCACCCAATCGGGTTTTCACAGCAATTTTCCATTTGGCACTGTAGCTAGCGGCGTGTTTGGTGGGATTAGCAGAAAATTAAGCAAAAGATTTTGGGTCTACCGTCAATGAAGTCAAAAACATATGTTGGATACACATTGAACTAAGAGTAAGTAAGGTCGATAAACAGCTAAAGTAAATGAACCCCAGAGAAAACTCGGTTTGTTTACTTCCATCCAACATTGACAACAATTTTCCACCCAATCGGTTTTCGAAATTTTTCATTCGACGCTCCACTGCTTCCCCAATCCACACTCCACACATTCGGAACGTGGAACGGAGGAACGGAGGAATAGAACTGGAGGAAGTGTAGCTAGCGGCGTGGCGAGGCAAATCGCAAATGAAGAACCGAGAGGTTTCGGTCCGCCGACTGCGCGAACCCGGGTACTCGGGTGAGTGACCGGGCATGTGGGAAAACGCCATTGTGGAGCTGGGAAAACGGAAAACGGAATGACCTCGGTGTTCGGTGCTCACCAGTGGTTTTTGTCCAATGAGGGAAGAGTTTGTGGTAATTGTGTGGGAGAATTTGCGAATTGAACTATTTGGAAAACGCAAGACTCGTAATAGAGAAGAGATTGTCATTGTTTTGTAGAGTTGAAGATTTATTGTAGGACCATTGGTTTGACAGATGATTGGATTGGAAAGTTTGGTCATTTTTAAATGAACTGGTTTAGTGCTCGCCTAACAATCAAAAGGTCACTGGTTCGATCATGAGAAAAGTCAGTTTTGAAATGGACCCAACTGTTCCTGAATATTGAGCTTTAAATAAGTGATCCTGGCTAATGAAACAGCTGATCGAAGCTACACAGATAATCTCATACCATCCTTCACTCATATTTGGGTTAAAATACTCATCCAGTTGGCGTCCACATCTCAATGATTGATAACTGTATAATGAATTGATTGAATAATTGGAATGCTCAAGGAGTCAAGTGTTGTTTATGGATTTTATGTGCATAACGTTTTAGGATAATTAATTGCAAAGTCAAACCACTTACCTATTGCATAAGATGATATGTTCAAAGATGGTTAAGCAAAGCATGTTCTCATATTCATTCTCTAAATTTTCTTCATAAACATCCTATGTATATTGTTGATGAACTAATTGTTCATGTTTCCATCTGATGTTTGATCAGTAAGATAATATGTTTAAATTCACTCCACTCTACACCAAATCCACTCCTTTGTAATAGGGTCATCCAAATATTCTGATAGACATGCATACAACATTCCAATAAGGTCCAATATTCCAATTAATATGGTCTTCTAGGCATACAAAATTCCATAACAACTGTTATAAAAAGAGAGCCGAAGCAGGATTTATTTTGGTAAGCAAAAGTGACTTTAAGATTACTTCAAAAGTCTAGTGTCAGAGAATAATTTCTAATATCATAAAAATGCATCAAATATTTTTTGCAGGTTTTCGTAGGTTATAGGACGTTTCAACATTTATTTGCACAAAGTAACGAAAGTTAGCAGAGATAGAATCTATAATTTAGACAAACACATCGTGTTATAGTTTTATTGCATAACCCTACAAAACGTAGGAATTACCATATGAACAAATAACACCAAATACCAAGTACTAAAGCATACCTTCGTTAAAAAAACTTCTTTTGTCGAACACTTAAAATTTTCGTAAACCCAACTAACTTGAGGCAACCCAAACAAACCACATTCCGAATAGCATTGAAGCTAGAACTATTTCCTGAACGATTATCATTTCCACGAACTTTACCACTAAGGAATCTAACTCATACATTCTTCGTACACCTGCAGGAATGAGTGTATATAGTTTAGTGTGACAGTACAGACTCGACCACGGAAGGCACGACTGAGCACGCAGGCTTGCTGCGTGAAGGTGGTGACTAATCAACAGGACGACGTTAGGAGTTGCAAAAGTACACCACGTGGCATCAGGAAGTGACCTTGGATAGAGGCCTC